TCACCTCTTCTCCCTGGAGAAGCCCCCACTATGGTGTTATTAAAAGGTGTCACCAAGACTCACGGGCATTAGGCTAGGATGGAAAACAGGTCTCTTCCTAGAGGCTGGAGCACAGGTCACAGAGGGGAGCAGGGAACATAACAGTTGAAGCTGAAGCAGAAATCAACGTGCGTGCGCCAAGCTAACTATGACAGCTAAAGGTCAAAGACACAGGTCTTCTGCACTGCCTCCGACATTTCTAGCTCCTTCTGCAGCCTAGAATCCATGTCAAGCAGAACTGTATCTACCCAGCTGCTCCTGAGAATTTAAGGAGAGGAAGAAAGAAAGAAAATAGCTACAGTGATAGTAAATTAAGACTCATCAGTTCCTCAGAGTACCACAAGGAAAGAAACCAGACCATTTATGACAATCATGGGGTTGAAGGTGACAGTGGGAACAGCACTGAATAATGACTAAAAAAGCCAGCCTGTATCTGCACTACCATACCCAACGCTGTAATTTGCTGCAACCTGAGGTGATAACGATGGCAGTAAATGGGTTACATGTAGAAACAAATAGCCCAAGAATAAGCCACCAACTGCTTCGTAGCAACCACCATCATCACTATGTACTCAGCAGAAGTAGTTCTGAAATGCTGCATGCCTGCTCGGAAAGGATGCCCAACAGTTGGGTGTGTGTGTCTTTGGGTCCTGCTGAGGCAGTGCTGTAAGTAGCATCATGAAATGTAAAGTGCCTGTTTTGCATAAGCAGATGCAAAATTTCAGGATTTGTGGTATAAAGTGGTGTTAGTAGAGCAAAGGGAAAGGTTGTGGACACAAGGGAACAGACTTGATGCCAAAGATTAAGCTGCAATACTGCATTTACAAAATGAAGAGTTAAACCTGCTCAAAGTCAGGTTCAAACTGCTTCTAATATTACTTTTTTTTTTAAATAAGATTTAAAAATCGCTGCCTCCCTGCAGAAAGCTATGCTCCTTTATTCTGAACTACTGCCTACAGATTAACTCCCCCATGCAGGTCATGCAGCACTGCCTGGATTTTTCTCTTCAAAATAATCAACATTTACTATTTCTAGCACCTCCCACAGTACCAGGCACCTTCCACAAAAGGGGTGAAAAAAACCCAAAAATGGCCAACCTATCAGAGGCACTTCTGTGTCCCGCAGCCGGAATATT